AACATAGTGCCTAAGGCACTTGACTGCTAACCAGGAGGCTGGCAGTTCAAACCCACCAGCCACTCCTCAGAAGAAAGGTTGGGCAATCTACTTCTGTAGTGATACTGCGTTGGAAACCCAAGGAGGGGGTCTCTATGAGTGGGGGCTGACTCAATGGCACATAACAACATCTGTAAAAGAACAGAAGTAACTAGATATCTGAGACCTCTATGATTCCCAGACATCAACAAAAATTTTAAATTACAACTGAAATACAATTAAAACAGAATAACCAAAACAAAGACATAAGAAACAGTAACAAACAGACTGACACTTACCTACATCAAAAAGCCTTTGCTTTCCACAGTGGACAGCAATAGCTAGAAAATCTTGTCACCACTTCCCAAATTTTAAGAAAATGCTTTAACTGATCTAAATTTGCCTAGCCTTGGGACAAATTTTTACTCAAAAAAAAAAAAGTTAATTTCCATAATTTCATACTTTTTTTATTATTAGTTGCAAAGGCCAAGTACAACACTTAAATTTTACTATATGATTAAATAAAACAAACCATCCAGTTAAAAATATACATTCCGCTAGAGGCCACAGAGAGAATCAGAGCTATATAGATAAGTCACAGCAGATAACAGGTGTAATCTGATAAACTGTAACATGAACACATTTTTCTAATTAGAATACTGTTTATTCATTCAACAAACATTTGCAGTATCAGTATCTTACACAGGAAAAATTAACTCTACACAGTACCTTAAACATAAAGGTAGTAGTAGTAAAGAAGGGCCTACCCAGCCTCAAGAGGAGATTAAAATAGCTACATATATTCCTATAATACAAGGCAGAAAGTTAAGTGCATGTGAGACGTACAGACAAAGAACCACAGGAGGGCAGAGGGACCTGTTCCTACCTTACAGAAATATAACCCTTTCAAACAGTTTAAAGCTATTTCCTATCTACTAGCTTCCTTTAGGGGAGCTCTGGTAGCATAGTGCCTAAGGCACCTGGCTGCTAATTAGAAGGCTGGAGGTTCAAACCCACCACCACTCCTTGGAAGGAAGGTTGGGCAATCTACTTCAGTAGTGATTGTTGTTGTTGTTATATGCCGTCGAGTTGGCCCCGACTCATAGTGATCCCTCCTTTGGTTTCCGAGGCAGTATCACTACGGAAGTAGGATTGCCCAACCTTCCTTCCGAGGAGTGGCTGGTGGGTTTGAACCGCCAGCCTTCTGGT